GAAATACCTGTTTAATTGATATTAAACAGTGTCATTACTGTTTAATATCAATTAAACAGGTATTTCTTTTCTTTTGAAGCAAAAAATAAAACACAATGCGACAAAAATATTTAGACACCATTTAAATGAGAGATAATGAAAGTTGCAAAGGAACGTTTTGAATAGAGACCTCTGGCCAATGTCAATGTCACACTGATATTGAGAACAGTGTGACCATTTGTGGCAGATTTCTGCCATTTGGGCAGATTTAATTTTCATTCGTTTTCATTGCGGCAGAACATGTTACGTTGTATTAAATGTGGCAGAGTTTGGCAGATTTGGTAATATTCAGCAAGTTTTTTATTATTTTTGGGAAAAAAACTTAAAAAATTGTTGTTTTTTGCTACCTACGAACAAACATCTGAAGTGAAATACAGGACAATATAATAAACATAACCTATGTTAATTTTATAACCCCAGCTTCTACAGGCTGTACTCAATTAGCTTTTTTGATGCTTTGATAATGAATCACAAGTATTGATAGGTCTCCTTAATGCACGTCGTCAAAAACACTGGGTCACAAAATACACGGGATATCGCCATCCTTCTTTTATTTATTTATTTATTTAGGATCATCATCAGTTGTTATGAGAATAAATTTGTACTTTAGTGGTCAAAAATATTTTTATGGGTTATTTTTTTAAGTTATTTAATATACATAACAGTTCACATTTATAATTATATATAATTGTCTACAGTATCACAATTTTGGTTCTACCAAGACTGTCACTCGTCAACTAGTCGCGGTACACATTACATTTTATATTTAATTTTGTAGTTATAAAGTCATCGAAAGTATTAGATGACTAGGAGTCGGGAGCCCATTTGCTCTGTCCTATTTCGGTCTCAAATAACACCAAGCAACACCACAATCGTACGTATCAAAACCGATTTTCTTGTACAAGTTGCATGCCACCTTGTTCCCTTTAACGCAAAAAGCAAATATGTCTTTTCCTTCTTCCAACAACTTATTACAAATAATTTTTAAAAGCAATTCTGCATTACCTCTTCTTCTGTACTTTTCTAACGTAAATACATGCCCCAAAGTCCCGGCTTCGTTGATATAAGCCCATGACATAAGTTCATGATTGTTGAAGAGTCCGTAACCTGATTTTGTACTGATGAGGAGTCGGTTGTACCATATTGATCCTGGATAACGATGTGGCCATGTAGAGTCTACCAGTTCAGTGTGTTCTACCGATAGAAGACCAAATGTTACGTCTGGTGGTAGGCTGCAAACAAATATTGTGATTAACATGAGATTGGTTTCAGTTATAAGAGCGTATTTGTTATAATACTAACTTTATGTCTACACACATATAAAAAAACCTTCTGTGATGTGTCAAAAAACTGCAATTTGCGGTAAGCATAAAGCTAAGCTGTTTTGTTAGAACAAATTTCTTATCTGTGAACATTGACTTACAATTATATGGACGTCGGGTCCGCGCTAAAAAGTGTCCGAACTTACAGGGCGTTAAAATCGTATACAGAGCGTCATTCACGCTTTAGTCTTCGTTTGTTTGACTGACAGCGAAGCAAGCAAAATTAGACAGTACTGCGATGACATTATAATTTAAATTCAACGTTGTAGCTTCTTCATATTCCTTTACATGTCTCTACGTTTAAATAGGTTGACTTGGGACATTTTTTTCGTGGTTTTTGTATTAGACCCGTCGTTCATTTATTTGTAAGTCAATGTCTGTGAAAATGTTATTATTGTTTATTAATAACATCTAATTCGAATTCAAATTTCGAACATCTCTCAAAAACAGTAGTTTTTGTGACTGTTACATAATGAAAGGCTAATGCCTAAATACGAGTGTGGTTTTATGAAACGAGCCGACAGACCAGTTTCACAAAAACATCACACAAGTGTTTTAATGCCTAATTATTTACAGTTACATACGTTGCTTTATCTATACATATGTATATTATAAGCTCTCTGTAAAGGGTGTAAAGGGCCCGAAACGTTGGTTTGTTTGAAAAAACATATATTCGCGATTTAAATCCGGAAAAATAGTTTCATTCCCTATGTGTAACAATCGCAAAAACCTATGAACTCGATACACCATAGAGAGCTTATGTGTATAGATAAAGCCTTAGAATAATAACCCATAGAAACCTAGTCCGCATACGCTAAGTGAGGCAAATTGAAGCGCTCAAGAATTTTAGCTAAAAATGACGAAATGTGCGGTAAATGAGTGTAAAAATACGTCAGACAAACTTAAAATAGATACTAACATCACATTCCACAAGGAAGTAACGCGTTTCAACTTGTATTTTTATGTAAATATTCACTAAAACCGAAAGTTAACCTACTACTGAAACTAGCCTACATGAATTTGATTTTTGCCTCACTTGTGACAGTTCGTTTGATATGAAACTATCATTCTATGCGTTATTATTCTAAGGATAAAGCAGTGTATGTAAATAATTAGGCTTTAGTTTCGTTTGTAAAAAAATAAATACTGAAATAAAGCCAGTGTCCCTGTCGCTCGACACAAGCAAACTTGCTTTTCTTTTCGAGCTCTGAAGATTTTTATCACAGTTAATTTTTCATAAAATATATACATACATTTAGTTACCTGACATCAAAAATGGGTTTGTCTTTTCCGTATATAAAGCTTTCACTTGGTAAAATAAGGTCAATTTCAACATTTACATCATTAACAACATTTTTAATACATTCTATGACATGGCGTGGTGCGAAAGGAATAATGATATTTCTGTTCCAATCCACAAGTTTAGTTTCCTTTAAAGCTTCTTCAAGTTTTTTAGTATTATCTGAAGGACACTGAACAACGATTTCGTAGAATGTGTCCTGAAATAAAAAAAATGGATCTGTGTCAGATATGTATTTTATTAATCTTCACAGAAAGAAACAAGAAAGAAGATACATTTATTTCATTACCACAAATTAAACCACACAAGAAAAAGAAACAAAATGGAAAAAAGAGAAAATAAAAACACAAATAAATAATTTTAACTCTTTTATACAAAAAAAAACTAAACATCAAAGTATGCTTATATATTCGCTGTTATTTTCATTGAAATTACATGTGTGCCTAGTTTTATTAAAACCGGTTAACGAAAAGTGGGTGAAATTCAGAAAAACCCGGATTTTTCCCCTAATTTGCCACCCATATGGAACATTTTCTTCATTTATCAATGGTGCAACATTTTCTTAAAATTTGAACGGGACCACTACTGAGGTACCCCTTTCCCAATAAAAAAATAATCATTGAAATTGGTTCACAAATATCGGAATAATCGCAAAACGTACGCACAAAAAATACTGACGAATTTAGAACCTCCTCCATTTTTTAAAGTCGATTAAAAACATTCACACTTAAGACACAAGTAAATAACTACATAACAAAATCACAAACAAAACAAAAAACTAAATTAAACCACAGATATTTGCTTATACAAAGACACTAAGGGTCATATTCTAGAAGTCTACTCAATGCTCAAGTCAGGATTGCACTGGAAATACGACCCTAACAGCAGGGACTTGAGTATGATTTTCAGTGCTCACTGCAATACTCAAGTCCTGACTTGAGCATTGAGTAGAGTTCTAGAATACGACCGTTAGTAAATAAAAATCATCTTTAGGTCACCATTTTTTTTATAACTTCAAGTGATGGGACGAACAAGTCGTACGCCTGATGGTAAGCTCACGCCTGTCCATAACAATTGCAGTGCCACTCAGAGCTTTAAACCGCAAAGATCTGTGGGGCACTGCCACTGCGCCCGACACCCTGAGACATAAGTTGACAGGTCCCATGTGCCTGTAATTTCTCCAGCACCCTTACCCTTCAAAACGCGAACACAGTAACATTAATGTTTGGCGGCAGAAATAGGTAAGGTGGCAGTACTTCCTAGGACGAACTCTTTCACAAGGAGCTCTACTGCTACTACAGATACATTCAGTTGTTTACATGTTATATGTGTAATTGACAATATTGTTTACTGTCTAGCAGTAGTGAAGAGTGATTACTTGGACTGATTAATAAATATTTACTTTACTTCAATTTGTCTACTCAAATTTGGTTTACTGTGGAAATATTACAATAATAATAATAAACTTGATTTGATGTAACCAAGGGGTCTCTACCCATCTACCCCTGGGGGCCTACTATGAGCTTATAGGCGGCCAGCCAAGTTACATGCAACTAACTTGACGTGGTAAAACTGAATTGCTTAAATTCGTATAATGACCTACACAAAGTTGAACGGGAATGGCATGCCTGGATGATGAGTTTTACTTTTTAAACGTTAATTATTGTCTCTGGCTGCCTAGCAAACATCTAACAAGAGCGAGATGAAACTACACACTAAATCATATGAAAGAAATAGACAGATGTACTATCCTGGGTAAGTTTAAGCACTATTAACCGATTGTGTTCAAAATGAGAATAACTATATTTTTTTTATTAATTCTATTATTGATTATACCTACTACGTTGTTTTGTAATATCGGCAACTTTTCAATCAACTTTACAATTTGTCGTACGACAAAAATACATGTCATGTCTAGTCATTATCATTGAAATTAATAAGGTGAGTTTGTAATTTGATAACATAATTGGAACGTACCTTGTATTCGTACATTTTCATTGATTGCATTTAAGTCAAATTTGGCACTATTTAAAAGTTATTTTACGATTTTCGGTAAATAAAATTAATAAAATAATTAAAATTCCATTTAAAAACTGCAATAACATTCATGCCAATATTTTAAAAACTCGAACTAAAATCTTAAAAATACGCTCAATAGTTAATAGTATTTATTTATTGACAATTGGCTATATAGCCAATAAAGATATGAAATAAATATGAAACTGAAAATATAATAAAACATAAACGAAATTTCTTAAATATGTAACAAAATTTAAAAAAGTTAGTCACGGAGTAACTTTTTTGAATTGCTTATTTTTACAGATGGGAAATGTGAACGGATTTCGAATTTGGCAGGCAATTCAACTTACAGGCTTAAATGAAATGGCATAAGTCAGCAGACAACTTGCAGATCGGCACATTGGTTCTCAGCTGAGAGCACGGGCTTCCACCGCTTCTGTGGCTGCTGGGACGCGTCGTGAAGCTGTATCCGGGCAAGGATAACGTCGCCAGAGTCACCGACATCCGTACCAAGAAAGGCGTTATTAGAAGAGCATATAACAACCTCTGTCCACTTCCTATAGCTTGCTCATAATGATTATGTATATGGCATATTTAGTTTTTAATTTGTTATGTTGAGTACACTCAAGGCCCGGAAGTATGCGAATGTAACTGAATTTTGTAGTAAAATTTATTATAGCTTTCAAAGCATTAACTAAACGCTCGTTAAGGGCAAATTACGTAGGCGCCTTTTTTGAACCTATCAACTAACACCACATGCATGTTATTTCACCCTTACCGCAATTTAACGAATTTTTTGTAAGAACTCAAAAGTGTCAAAAAGGACGTTCACTTTTGAATTGTACTAAGAGCTTATAGTAGGCCCCCTGTTCTCCATCCCACATCCGTTCGAAATAATTACCCTCAAATAAGTAGTACTAGACAAAATTAAAAGACGCAGGAGGACACATAATTACCAAATTGTACAAATCTGTTGGAACTTTTATTATAAAATGCATTTAGCAGGAGAGCTCCTTGTGAAAGAGTTTGTCCAGGGAAATACTGGCACCTTACCTATTTCTGCCGCCAAACAGTAGTGTGAGCATCACTGCGTTCCGGTTTTGAAGGGTGTAGGTGAAATTACAAGGATAATGTTACTTGTTAACATAATCTCAGTACAGAGTACTAAAAAAACCGACCTCAAAAGTACATGGAATTACATATAATTAAAGTTTTATTGAAATCGGTTACCGGAAAGTGAGCAAACCCGGATTCATCCCCTACTTCGCCGCTATACGGGACTTGACATAGGAGATAATAAAAATCAGTTCTCATTACTCAAAGTAAATTGAGAGAGAAAAACGCCTCGAATTGGAGAATAGCAAAATCAACCATTAAAATACTTGCTCTTTACAATAAAATTTAGGCGCTATTTGCAAAAATGAATCTTTATGCCTGAACATCCACACTTAGAGGTGGATGATTTTCTTCAAAATTAAATGGGACCACTATGGAGGTACCCTCTTTCCAATAAAAAAGAATAATGAAAATCCGTTCACAAATACCGGAGTTATCGCGTAACATACATACAAAAAAAACAGAGTCGAATTGAGAACCTACTCCTCCTTTTTGTGAAGTGGGTTAATAATGAATCGGTGTGACGAGCGGCTGGACTTAATACTTTCTAGGAACTGTATTGCTAAAACGACTGATTTTTAAATATCTCTACAAAATATATGTATAGTGGACGATGTGGACTGTATGAAATTGGAGTGAAGACACCAAAGAAACGAGCACAAAATATGGATAAACCACAAAACATAATTCAATATAATTCACTAATTCACGACACAGAGACAATCAAAACATTAGAAAAACAATACAATAAAACAAGAACTTGATAGAAAGAATAGAAAAATAATATGAAGCAAGGCGTTCGCGACATCCTGCCCCTCATGCAGCATTGCACTATTTGTCTCAGTGGGCCAAGGTCAGGCAAGGACCTTAAGTGTTCAGCTTCACCAGTTTTTTCAAAGGCTGGCGCAAAAATGAAGTGAACAATGTGGTCTGTATGAAATTGGAGCGAAAAAACCCAAAAATTGAGCGCAAATATGGAAGAAACAAAAAATTTACGATAATCGAAACATCAGAAACACAATACAATAAAACAAAAACATGACAGAAAGAATAGAAAAATAATATAAAGCAAGGAGTTCGCGACAGTATGGTAAAATTTTGTGTGACTTCTGACATTTCTAGTACTCTTACCTCTTTTGGTCCCTTAGAGACTTGGCAGGAATAAAGTTTTATGAAAAATTGCGTTTTATTATTGATGTAAAGATCGAAAAGACGCAAAGGACAATTCCTTCGATCCGAATGGACGTGAACCAGCGTTTATCGGCTCAACGTATACGACAAATATTCCTAAGTCATCTACTACAAATTATGGGAGTCAGTTCAGAGTATTAGGTACATTTCAATCTATTATTACCTTATCACATTTAAGTTATATCGTGGCTAAGATGTCAATATTGAATTATCGTTAGGTTTTACTGTTATAATTATATTACATTAATAACATTACATTATAAAAAAACCCACCTCTAAAGTTGTATTCGTGGAATTACATCTATTTGCCAAGTTTTCTCGAAATCGGTTACCGGGGAGCACGAAACCGGTTTCATCCCCTAGTTTGCCACCCTTAGGGGTAAAACATTTTCTTCAAATTTAAACGGGACTAACACTGAGGTACACTCTTTCCATCAAAAAAAAGAATCATCAAAATCGGTTCAGAAAGAATTATCACGTAACAACAAAAAAAACATACAAAAAAAGAAAAATACTGACGTATTGAGAACACCTTCCTTTTTTGGAGTCGGTTAAAAATACAGATCAGATGATTTCTTACGTCTATCGTCTGTACATCTGTATGTAAATCATTTGTGCGTATGTTACTCGATTACTTGATTTGTGAACAGACTTTGATGATTCTTTTTTTGATGGAAAGGGGATACCACAGTTTTGGTCCCATATATTTGAATAAAATACTCCACCTCTAAGGGTAGCAAACTAGGGGATGAAACCGATTTCGCGTACTTTCCGGTAACCGATTTCTTGACAAATAAATGTAATTCCACTTTTGAGGTCGGCTTTTTAAATAAAAAAGTTATAATTCCCTTATAATTGCAACATTTATTTTTATTGTACGGTAGTAAAACATGATATTCAATAGAAATATTTTTTTATGATACCAAGTGACTGGACGAACAAGTTGTAGCAGTTACAATTCAAAGTTTTAAACCATAAAGATCTGAGAAGCACTGCCACTGCGCCCGTCACTTTGAGACATAAACAACGAAAATATGATAAATACAAGGCAATACTTTACAAAAATACAATATTTTTATATCTTATTTCGTTTCGGACATATAAAATCGAACACCGTTAGATCTGATATTCAAAACGAAGAACAACGAGCGAAATGTAGAATGTTCTGAGATAAAGCAGTCTTGCATATAGGCCTTTGTTCTACAGATGAGTCAAAATTAACACGTACAGTCCGTTTCTTCTTCTTTTTCTTCTTGGCGTGTCGATTTTGCGAATTTATCTTTGTGCTTGTTGCAGACCTTTGTTTTTGGTATTTAACTACTTTTTTGCCGTAGCGCCATCTATGAGAAATCTATTTCTACTTATTTGATTTATTCAAATGCCAATAAGATATTCGATTGGCCAAAAAGTCCATGCGGTATCAACGTTAAAAATGAAAAAAATTTAAAAAACAAATATCAAACTTTAACCAATTATAATTGCTAACAATGCTAATGTATGATTATACATTAGCATCTTTGAATAATTCATCCCTCTCGTAAAAAATCCTGTCTTATAAAATACAGCTCCAAGCCGTGTTGTTTGATGGTTTCTTCGTTAACCAAGTCGTGTCCATTCAAAGAATTTTACGGAATCCAAAAATTATACGGAAAATCTGAAGGGGCTATGTCGGGCGAACACGGTGAGGTAATACACCCCAACCTAAAAGTAATAGTTTTTGACGGCTTTGTATGGATAAAACCATCGAGTATATAACCAGAAATAGAGACGAAATAAGCGCTATATACTCCTGGTATCACATTAGCGGTACAGCTCTTATAAATATCAACTCTCGTTTGCACTGAAATATAGACAGGCCAACTACTGACCTGTGTGTACGTCTCCGTATATACCAACAAATATTCTGTATTTATTGTAATAAAGATAACATCTCTAACAATGCCGTGCTGTTCTATTCGGTGGTGTGGGAAAAACAGCAAAACATCTAATTACAAAACAAACGGAAACACATTTCATCGGTAATTAAATATTAAATGTAATGTAATTTTGAAATTTTCGTCCATTATAACAAAGCTCAAGTTAACTGGTTCTTTTGAAGTGAAACAGTTGACGACATCCATTGACGACAATCGTCAATTGTTTCGAACTCGGCCTGGCCAATCGGAGTGCAATTGTTACAATAATGATATGGCAGAATAGTTTTCAAACAAATTAAATGGCATTTCGGCTCTATTTCTGGTTATATACTCGATTGGTAAAACACAACACCTTTACGACTCACCAGGAATTCTGGGCGTTGTTTTTCATCAAATTTAAAATGTTCCCGCCGATTCTATAAATGCAAGCTAAAATATTATTTTTAAAATGGCTACAGACAACATTTTTTTTAAGTTAACCAGTGGCAAAAACCCCAAGTGCTTTTTAATCAACTCTCGCTTATGGTCACCACCAGCCGAAACCTCAACCGTTATTATTATTTGTATATAAGTAAGTAAACACATATTTGTATATACGCAATTGTAAACTTACCTTTTCATTAAAAGCCACCATGCCGTTGGAACCATCTCCGAAAGGGCAAAAAACCTTAAACCCATAGTCGTGTCCTTGATTTTTCCAATTCCTTTGAGTTTCCAAAATGGTGTAGGCTGATATTCCTCTGGGCCAATCGCATTTGAATAAATTTTGGAGGTCCGCCCAATTTTCCATAGATACGGGTAGTAAAGAGTCCTTTAGTTCCATTTTTACAATAAACGTCTGCTGAAGAATGATTTGTTGATTAATATGGCATCTTAATGGCTGCGTAATGTGGATAATGGTGCAAAGTTTAAATAACTTTTTTATTATTAAGAAAAACCGACTTCAAATTGTGAAATCACATGGGAATTACACATATTTACCAAGCTTTATTGAAATCGGTTTACGGAAAGTGGGTAAAACCGGATTCATCCCCTAATTTATCGCCCGTAGAGGTGGAATATTTTCTTCAAATTTGAAAGGAACCACACTGTTGAGGTACCTTTTTTCCAACAATAAAATAAAAAGATCATTAGCTGCTAACAAAGTCCTAGACATTGCCTTATCTCATTTCCAAACAGATTTCACCAACTTGCAAAACGCATCTCAATCTTATATTATAAGACTACAGGTAAGAACCCTGAAAGATATACTGCCGACCTAATTCAAAAGGCGTTTTGTCAAAAAAATTTTTTTGTGAATCATTTGCAATCAGTGCCACTATTAGCAAATGTGGTGATTGGTTATGTCTACACAGGCGAACTCTCCAACGGGAGTTTCTTCCTCTTTAAAATAATATTATGTTTACACTTTAATAATAATGTTTTAGTTTCTGTTGACTAAAAACTTAATAATTTGTTTTTTGTGCTACTAGTGGAGATTTGTAATTAGCATTTTGACCTGTTACTCAACATTTATTTATTGTTAATAATTCGCGAAATCTTCCCAAAAATAAATAAATAAAATAAATAAATAAATAAATAAATAAATAATTAAATAAATAAATAAATAAATAAAATAAAATAAAATAAAATAAAATAAATAAAAATAATAAAAATAATAAAAATAAAATAAAATAAATAAACAAACGAAACAAATTAAACAAATGAAATAAAACTAACTTAAATCGTAACTTAAATCGGGCGCAGTGCCCCTCAGATCTTTGCGATAAAAAGCTCTGAGTGGCATTGCAACTGGTATGGACAAGCGTGTAGCTTACCATCAGGCACACGACTTGTTCGTCCCGTCACTTGATATTATAAAATTAAAAAACAAAACAAAATTTAGCAAGTTCTCTGTAGTACTTAAAGAGAAATGTCTCCAAACAAAAATTATGTGCAAGGTTAGATATTTTATTTATAAATTATTCGTTTTAGACTTTTATTTTCGCCCGTTTTTAGAATTTTATATGATCAGGTAAAGTACATCCCTTCGTGTAACGATTTAACTCATTTAAACCATTTATTTACCACACACAATAACGTACAGAACATAATAATATAACAATATTGTGGAAACAACAACAGAGCGTGGAAAGAACAGGCTCAGTATAATCCTGTGTGGCCTCGCGGTAAACTGATTTTCAGTCTGACCTTGTTGACACATCGTTTTTCAACATAATCCAATATAACTACACCACCGCCACGATAACCATCGAATATTAATAATTATATCTGTTGAAATTATTAATAACATTTAAAAAAATTATGATACGACTATGTACGACTAATTTACATGTAATTAACTAAAAAAATATGCTTAATAAAAATTAAAAAATGTATAAAAAAAAAATAACCACAAAATATTTTCAATTCCAAACTAACAAGAAGATAGAAAAAAACCATACATTAGGTTTTGTCGCTCTAATAATTCTCTTTTCGTGTGCATCTTAACTAAGTATTGGGAATTAGCACATTCTTTAGAATAAAATATATCACAATATCTAAGTAAATACTTAAACCATTCGATCTACCAAAACAGATTTCCTGCTTCTTTCATGACACGCCTTAAGCGTAGCAGATTATGCTTTGTATTTGAATAAAAATTACCCAAATGTAGGAAAGACTTTTCGGTTCCGAGTTTCCGGTCCTGAGGGAAATTTGGATAATGGATTTATTAGTATGAATGTGAAGTTAAAGGACTTGAATTTATGTTTAAAATACTTCTTAGAACAAGATGGAGACGGAACAAGGCGTTTAACTTAAGTAGTTTATGTGATTGTGTTGCTATTCCTTTATCTGTCTGTGGGCAAGCTACTAGTCTGGCTCACAATGCTCTCCGACTCAGGACTCAGTCATTCGCTCGAGGTTACGCGATAGGTGCCTACTGCTAACTGTATCGCCGACAGTGCAAGCGTTCAGACTTGTACAACCAGAGAATTCGGTTCCGCATGATTGCACATGGTGGGCAACTTTATTTCCACTTCTCTGAGCACGTGCTTAGGTTCCTTTTCCTTCGTAGGTATTTTCTATTTTCTATGAGAGTGATGTAAGTAACTATTAAGAGTTAATACAACCTCAAATGGTTTTGGTTGATTCCGCATAACAGTGGAAGTGTTGAATCAATAAGTTTGTATATAGGTATATATAATAAGGATATACACTGATTAGTATACAAACAGCTTTAGTTTAGTTTGTAAAAAAATAAACTCTGAAATAAAGCCAGTGTCCTTGCGGCTCGATCCAAGCAAAATTAACCGTATCAGAACGGGAAAAGTTTGAGCTTTTCGATTCGAGCTGAGGTAGTATCGATTATTTATCTGTCTAGCTAAACGAATGATGTTCATCAAACATAACTAAAAACTATCAATTGACCTTTAAATAAAAAACCTGCTTTGAGATCAGTCCATTCGTTTGAGAGTTACGATACCATATACAGATAGACACAGAGATGTGCAAAAAAATATTCAAAACTTATAACTCCCCTCTTTTTGCATGGCGTTAAAAATAAGACACGAACTAACATGATAACCGAGAAATAAAAAAAAACCGATGTCACAGGTTTGTAGACGTACATCTATTTGCCAAGTTTTATTGAAATCGATTAACGTAAAGTAAGTGAAATGCAATAAACCAATTCATCCCCTAATTTGCCACCCCTACAGGTGAAATATTTTCTTGAAGTCTGAATGGAACCTATGATGATTCCTTTTTGTTAGAAAGATCTAACAAACAAAAGAATGATCGAGAAGTCGCGTAACATACATACAAAAAAAAGGATTTAGAACCTCCTCCTTGTTAAACTGCCTCTGTGGCCGAACGATTACCATGCCGGACTGCCACGCAGAGGTCCCAGGTTCGATTCCCGGGCCGAGAGAAATAGTTGTATGGCCTACAATTATTTATGTCGTGGGTTTGGGTGTAATTTGTGGTTGTCTACGTGTGTGTCCATGGCACCCGCGACACAGGGTTTCCCTAGTGCGGGGCTATGTTGAGTGTGCGTTATTTATTTATTATTATTATTATTGTTTTAAAGTCGGTCAAAAGTATGACATGAACTAAAATGATAACAGAGAAAATTCCTGTGTACATTTCTCTGTACTGTTTTATTGTCGATATGGTTAGTCATTCTCCTGTACTGTGACACTTTTTTTTTAAATAAGTACGCATTAATTTGACACCTGGTGGACTACGGATTTCGACAAATTCAGGGTTAACTCGATCTTCGTGTTTAAATTTGCCATTAAATTTTAAATGAGCGCAGTAACTTCGTCGAATAACAAGTGAATTTGGAAACATTGAAACTCAAAACTGGAAGTCATTTCATGCCATCCATATTTAAACGATCTTAATGGGTTCAAAATTAAATATCTTTTGTACAATTCCGGATCACTTAATTAATTATTTTATTGGATAAAGCTAAGAATAACATTTACTTTTTATTTCAAATTGGTATTTCTTGAACTGATAAAAATAATAAAGTTATTAAATTTGTATTGAATTGTAATTCAATTACTTTTTTGTGAAATTACTTCACTGGTTTGTTATAATTATATAAATAATTGTAATAATATAGTAGTTTATGTGACTGTTACATAATGAAAGGCATTTCAATACGAAAGTGGTCTAGTGATGGCCAATTGTAACGCCAACTACACATCGATTAAATAATTGAATGAATCGATTTGTTCAATTGAGTCATACTAGCGGTTTTCCTTACATAACCTATATAAGCACATTTAAAATTTCAATTCAAATCCTCCTTCAAATCCTTACACTCAGATACTCGTTGGATTGCGATTGTAATGTTCGATGTAATAATCGATTACTAAACTTTAATTGATTGAACCTAATGTTTTTTTCGAACAGCACTATGCAACTATAGGCAAGTCATAGAAGTATAGATGAATAATAACCTCACTTTTGGACTACCATTCTTAATTTTTTTTTTCATTTTTGATTATTTCATTCAAATCAATATTGTTGGAAAAAGTGACAATATATCGCACCCTTAGTAATATAAGGGCACAATCCAAAAAAAGTAGAT